ATGTTGTCAATGGTTTAAAAGCACTTAGTAAAAGTTTTTCTAACTTTGAACTTATTAATAAAATACTAAGATCCCTTCCAAAAAGTTGGGATCCTAAAGTAACGACAATACAAGAAGCAAAAGACTTGAATAATTTTTCGCTCGAAGAATTTATTGGGTCTTTGATAACTTACGAAATGACATGTATTGCACATGATGCACTTAAAAATAACTTTCCAAAGAACATGAAGGATTTGGTACTTAGAACAAAAGAAAACCACTCAAGCGAAAGCTCAAGTGATGATGACTTTGAACTCATCACAAGAAAATTTAAAAAATTCATAAAACAAGAAACTAAGAACAAAAACAAACTTAAAAGGAAGTGGCTACCAAAGAAAATAAAAGTATTCAAGATGACATGGGATGAATCAGCTGCATCTGAAGACGATGAGCAAATCGATGAAGACGAAATGGCAAACTACGCCTTGATGACTCTCTACGATGAGTTAAATGACTCAACAAAAACTCCTTTACCTTCAATAAATTGCTTAATGGTTTCCATGATTTATTTGATGAATTTAAATTAGTTGATAAAAATTATAAATTATTAAAAAAGGATCATGTCTTTCCTTCTAATGAATTTAAAAAATTAAAAAATAAGCATGATAATTACATGTTAATGTTTTAAACTCAATGTGAAGTATTAGATTCATGCAAAAAGAAAATTTTGTTACTAAAACAAACATTAAAAAAATTTAATATTGGTAGTAAATCTTTAAACACGATTCTTGCCAATAAGAGTTATATTCGTAGAAAAGAACAAATCGGCCTTATGAATAGTAATACTCAATAAAAGTCAATCACATTTGTTAAAGGACCCACATTACATATTGCCCATAAGATTAAGTGTAATTTTTTAATAGACATAGTCATTTTGCATATAAATGTTCATTTAAAATATATGACTTGCATAAATTAGTTTGAGTTCCTAAAGGAACTATAAATGACTTAATACCAAAAATTAAAATAGATAGATCCAACCATGAGGGACCCAAAGTCAAATGGGTACCTAAAAGAAACTAATCTTTCTTGTGGACATCTCTACAATTGAAAGCTAGGAGCACAAATAAAATTTTAATAGTGGATGCTCAAGACTTATGAGCAGAGATCCAACATACTTCACAAAGCTCACTAGCCGAAACAAAATAATTTTAATTGAAGGTGCTTTATGTTCGATGAAATCATATTGATGATTTTATATTATGCATGAGGATTTGAAGTAATGATGATTTAAAATCTTATATTTTGAAATTATGTATTATACTTTTAATCTTGATGATTTTTGTGATAAATCTTATTTTTCAGTTTTAAACATGGTGTATGGTTTTGACATAATAAAAAAAAACTTGGGCATGCTCCTATGAAATCAATTACATGAATTGAAACAACTAAAAAGAGAAAAGCATTTTTCCTAAAATTTTCTCAATCGAGTTTTTCAATAAGAGATTGATGAATTTATGTTATTTTATGAATCTCTTGAACTATAAAAGTGATTTTGATCATTTAAATTTGAATGACTTTTATCTAAATCTTTCACATAATACTTGAGATTTATTCTAAATGAATCAAGATCTTTTATCTCCTATGTTTCTTTTTCATTATTTACAAAAGGAGAATTATCTAAATGAATCATGAATTTTCTTTTGATTCCTCGTAATTATAACTTGAAATCTTTTATTAATCAAGATTTCTTATTGTATATTCTCGTATCATTCCTTCTTATTATTTAAGGGGAGATTTTTTTTCATGAATCATAATTTTTCTTATGAATTATAGGAATTATAACTTCAAATTTTTTAATATATGAATCATGATCTTGACAACTT